GCACACATGTGTGAGCATGTATATGTATGTGTATATACATACACACACACACACACACATATATATATACACCAAATGTTAGAAGGGTTGGATTTACCATAATGATTTCTCTTTTCTCCATTATAACTCTCTCTTTTTCAGTTTTCTACAAAGCCAGTTACTGTAATAGTCTAGAAAAATAAAGCACAGTATCAAAAACTAATTGAGGGGCCAGCTCTTTGACACAGTGAGTTAAGCCACAGCCTGCAGCACTGGCACCCCATATGGGTGCCCATTTGAGTTCTGGCTGCTCTACTTCTAATGCATCTGGGAAAGCAGTAGAGGATGGCCCAAGTTTTTGGGCCCCTGCACCTATGTGAGAAGCTCCTGGCTCCTAGGTTCAGTCTAGCCCAGCCCCAGTTGTGTGACCATTTGGGGAGTGAACTAGTGGATGGAGGATCTCTCTCTCTCTCTCTCTCTCTCTCTCTCTCTGTAACTCTGCTTTCAAATAAATAAATAAATCTTAAAAAAAAAAAAAAGCATTGAAATAACGTGTGGCATACACTGTGGTGTGGATGCCCTCAGTGCATTCATGCGTACAGTGATAGTGATGCACGATCTGATTCAAGCACCCCAAGAGGAGTCTGGTTATTGCTGCTAGTTGACTACAATCTTTCAGTTTTTCTTGTGTTGTGTTTTTTTTTTTTTTTTTTTTTTTTTTTTTTTTGATAGGCAGAGTGGACAGTGAGAGAGAGAGACAGAGAGAGAAAGGTCTTCCTTTGCCGTTGATTCACCCTCCAATGGCCGCCGCTGCAGCCGGCGCACCGCGCTGATCCGATGGCAGGAGCCAGGAGCCAGGTGCTTTTCCTGGTCTCCCATGGGGTGCAGGGCCCAAGCACCTGGGCCATCCTCCACTGCACTCCCTGGCCATAGCAGAGAGCTGGCCTGGAAGAGGAGCAACCGGGACAGAATCCGGCGCCCCAACCGGGACTAGAACCCGGTGTGCCGTTGCCGCAAGGTGGAGGATTAGCCTATTGAGCCACGGCGCCGGCTTTTCTTGTGTTTTTTTAAGATTTATTCATTTGATGGAAAGAGCAACAGAGAGACAGGGAGAGAAACAAAGATCTTCCATCTATTAGTTCCATCCCCAGATGCCCACACAGATGGGGGTGGGCAGGTCAAAGCCAGAAAACCCATCTGGGTCTCTCACCCAAGAACTTGGGCCATCATCACCTACCTTCCCAGGTGCATTAGCAGGAAGCTGGATCAGCAGCAGAGTAGCCTGGACTTGAATTGGAACTCTGATATGGGATGCAGTAATTGCAGGTTCTGCCTAACCCTTTGCCCCACAACATTCATGCTGCTGACTATAGTCTTCTCCATATTTAGAAAGAAGGCTGCTACATGTCACTAAATCAGTTCCCAGAACTTTTAGGCAACTTTCTCTATTATTCTTTAGTACTAACTTTTTGAGCCTTATTTTTAAAAATTTCTTAATTGTAATAACTGACCTTTTTTTTTTTTAAGATTTATTTATTTATCTGGAAGGCAGAGTTTCACAGGGAGAAGAATTTTCCATCTGCTGGTTTACTCCCCAAATGAATGCAACATCTGGGGCTGGGCCAGGCTGAAGCCAGGAGCCAGGAACTCCATCTCAGTCTCCCACATGGGTAGCAGGGATCCAAGCAATTCAGCCGTCTGCTGCTACTTTCTCAGACACATTAGCAGGGAGCTGGATCAGAAGTGAGCAACTAGGACTCAAACCAGTACCCATATGGGATGCCGGCATCACAGGCAATGGCTTAACCTGATGTGCTACAATGCTGGCCCCTAATTCTCACTTTACAACTACTTTTTGCACCTTCACACTTCACACCGCATCTCTGATCTCGGTGTTAAGCCCCCAAGTCCTATCTGCTCTGCAGCTAGAGTTTGGGAAGGAGTATAGCATGGATGTGACTGTCCTCGCACTTGGACAGTGTTCCTCAGAAAGAAGTTCCATGGAGTGGCTGGATGCCCATGGCTTCTTTCTCTGTCATAAAGCTATCAAGAGAAGAGTTGTAAGGTGTCCTTTAGATGCTTTCCTAGCACCTACTGATGACCCTCCTGCAAACACAGAATGTGCTAAGTTTGGAGGCTATGGTTAAAATAAAATGACAATGTAATGCAAATGAAAACATTATTCTAAAGCATGAAAGTTTTTATTTTGCAGTTTTGAAGATTTATCTCTATTTGTTTGAAAGGCAGAGTGATAGAAGGAAAGACAGAGAGAGAAAAAAATCTTGTAACTGCTGGTTCACTCTACAAATGCACGACAGTGGTGGCCAGGTCAGGCTGAATCCAGAAGGCTGGAACTCCTAGTCTCCCACATGGGTGGCAAGGGCCCAAGCGCTCAGACCATCTTCTGTCCTCCTGGGTGCATTAGGAAGGAGCTGGATTGGAAGTGGAACATCCGGGCCAGCACCGCGGCTCACTAGGCTAATCCTCCGCCTTGCGGCGCCGGCACACCGGGTTCTAGTCCCGGTCGGGGTGCCGGATTCTGTCCCGGTTGCCTCTCTTCCAGGCCAGCTCTCTGCTGTGGCCCAGGAGTGCAGTGGAGGATGACCCAAGTGCTTGGGCCCTGCACCCCATGGGAGACCAGGATAAGTACCTGGCTCCTGCCATCGGATCAGCGTGGTGCACCAGCCACAGCGCACCGGCCGTCGCAGCCTTTGGAGGGTGAACCAACGGCAAAGGAAGACCTTTCTCTCTGTCTTTCTCTCTCACTGTCCACTCTGCCTGTCAAAAAAAAAAAAAAAAAAAAGTGGAACATCCAAGACACAAAGCAGTGTTCAGATGGGCGGCCAGCATTGCAGGCTTAATGCACTGCACCACAATGCTAGCCCCCAGGACTAAGTTTTTACAGTCAGCTTTATTAAGCCCTTACTATGTAATGACTTTAGGCCCTGAAGAAAACAATCAAAAAAATCTCCATCTGACACCCACACTTGTTGATTTAGGAAGGGGATATTTATTTATAAGTGATACTTTAGAACTGTACTGAGGCAGTGGGCACTGTGGCACAGAGGGTTAAGCTGCTGCTTGGGATTCTCACATCTCATATCTGAGTAACTGGGATAAGTCCCACCTCTACTCCCATCAGGCTTCCTGCTAAAGTCCCTTGGAGGCAGCAGATAATGATCCACATCCTTGAGTTGCTACCACCCTCCAGTCTGTCCAAGCAAGGTCCCGTTTTAAATACAGATTTTCATTGAAAGATAATTTAAGAACAGACTCAGTACCTGGAACATAATTATACCCTTTGAATAAAAATGGGGCACCTAATTTGGCACGGTGGTTAAGACACAGCTTGGGGAAAAAACTAAAATAAAAAAAATTAAAAACAAAGAATAATAAAAAATAAATTTAAAAAAATTTTAAAAAGACATAGCTTGGGATTCCTGCATCCCATATAGGAATACCTGCATTTGAGTCCAGCTCCACTCTGCATTCAAGCTTCCTGCTATTGTGCATCTCCGGGGGCAGCAGGAGATGGCTCAAGTAGTCAGATCCCTGTCACCCATATGGTATAGAGTTCTTGGCTTCAGCCTGGACAGTGCCCAGATATTCTAGACATTCAGGGAGTGTACCAGCAGATAGATCTCTTCTAGTCTGTCTCTTTCCCTCTTTGTCATAAATAAATATTTTTTAATTATAAGCATATGTGTAAGTTTATACACATATGCAAGCATATACAATTGTCACAATAATGAATAGCTATTATCACAATTAATAATGAATATGAGGAAATACAGAGCTTACTACTTTTCCTTGCCTTGAAATGTAGGTTCTTTGGGGTTTTTTGGTAGGGTTTTCAGATTTATTTATTTATTTGAAAGGCAAGAGAGACAGTGAGAGTCAAAGAAAGAGAGATCTTCCATTTGCTGGTTCACTCCCCAGATGGCTGCAGGAGTTTCATCCAAGTCTCCGACATGGATGGTAAGGGCCCAACACTTGTCATCTTCTGCTGCTTTTCCCTGGGCCATTAGCAAGGAGCTGGATCAGGAGTAGAGCAGCTGGGACTTGAATTGGTGCCCATGTAGTCTGACAACATCTCAAGCAGCAGCTTTACACAGCTATGCTGCAGTACTGACCTTGAAATGGTGATCTTCAGTTGTCATAGAATAATATGATTTTAGTGTCTCAAGTCGATGGAATGGGTGTTAACAGATATTTGGTGGATTTTGTATGTGACGTTAGAATTCAGTGTTGGGGCTGGTGCCGTGGTGTAGCAGGTAAAGCTGCCACCTGAAGTGCCAGCATTCCATATGGGTGCCAGTTCGAGTCCCAGTTGCTCCACTTTGATCTCTGCTCTCTGCTATGTTCTGGGAAAGCAGTGGAAGATGGCCCAAGTCCTTGGGCCACTGCACCTATGTGGGAGACCTGGAAGAAGCTCCTGGCTCCTGGCTTCAGATTGGCACAACTCTGGCCATTGTGGTCATCTGAGGAGTAAACCAGTGGATGGAAGACCTCTCTCTCTCTCTCTCTTTCTCTGCCCCTGCCCCCACCTCTGCCTCTCTCTGTAACTCTGACTTTCAAATAAATAAATAAATCTTTTTTTAAAAAGTCACTATCATAAAGTTTTCTTTAAAGTCTTTCTCTTCTGTATCTTTAAATTGTTTTATACGTTCTATTTTCTTCTACTCTTTAAAATCTGTTTACTTTTTTGAATAGATAATTTGTTGACACGGGTCAAAATCAGCAAATAGTTTGAACGTACATAGAGAAGTCTGCCCATCAATGCAGTCCCTACCACTCACCCACTACTTAGTATTCCTTAATCCTTTCAGCAGTTTCCCTCAGCTCTCTAAAGGATATTTGGAAATGTTCATTCTTTTTTAAAATGTCAATTACTTAGACTTGTTTTATTCTGCCAAACATGTTTCTTCCATACATCTTAATTATCTTAAAAAGTTGAAAGACTCTGAGTAAGTGCTTTATTACTGAGAAGAGAAAAACATAACTTTTTTTATTGCTTTCAGGAGATGCCAGGTATCCATTACTTGGCCAACCACTGCAGTACAACCCACCTGCTGTTCTGCATGGACACATTCCAAACCAACAGGTATGGAAGGCAGGAGGACCTCTCAGTGTCGGTTGCAAAACACCTCACTTATGTTGCTGCAGGTGAAGGGCACCCTGTGCACACCTCTTGACACTTTTCAAGGAAGTCTGTGTGCCACAGCCAGCTGATTTACCATGGTTTGCACTGGCCCCATCAAGAATTCTGTAACGGAGATGGTGCTAGCTATTTGGCCAAGCTGTGATTTGCTAGAGCCACCCAAAGATGGGCAGTGGCTGGGGGTTAGGGAATCCTTATAACAGATAGCAACAGCAGCCGGCGCCGTGGCTCAATAGGCTAATCCTCCACCTTGCGGCGCCGGCACACCGGGTTCTAGTCCCGGTCGGGGCGCCGGATTCTGTCCCGGTTGCCCCTCTTCCAGGCCAGCTCTCTGCTATGGCCAGGGAGTGCAGTGGAGGATGGCCCAGGTGCTTGGGCCCTGCACCCCATGGGAGACCAGGAAAAAGCACCTGGATCCTGGCTCCTGCCATCGGATCAGCGCGGTGCGCCGGCTGCAGCGGCGGCCATTGGAGGGTGAACCAACGGCAAGGGAAGACCTTTCTCTCTGTGTCTCTCTCTCTCACTGTCCACTCTGCCTATCAAAAATAATAAAAAAAAAAAAAAAAAAAACAGATAGCAACAGGGAAGGACAGATGTGCCATTACTGCAGAGGCAGAATCCAGAAGGCCTGGAATTGGTTAATTTATGCTGATGTATAAAACCAAACTAAGTATGTTTAGATATCAAGTTTTTAACCAATATAAACAGATATTTCAGCACTACTAACCTTATTTCAACTATTTGTGGATTTTTCAGGGTCAATCTGGCAGTAGGCATGGAAACCGAGGAAGGAGACAAGCTAAAAAAGCTGCATCCACAGACCTTGGAGCAGGAGAGGCAGGTGTGTCCCTGAGGGGCAGCTGGATGTGGGTCTGCAAACCGGAGTCTATCTCTGAAAATATGCCACATGCCAGAAATGGGCTTTTTTCTGCATAAGAAATTATATCATCTCCAATGTAGGATTCTTGAATATGTTCTTTTCATCATTTCAGATATGGGAGGTACACAGTAAGGTACAGGTTTATTCAGGGAGGGGTAAGGGAGTCAGAGAAAGAGGAGGTATGTAGGAGGAACAAGCAAAACCCACACCCTCAATGATCTATGTGGAAGCAAGGCTGAATGAACAGATAATACCACTTTTTTATGTAAAGGGTTTTCAAGTTGGCACTTAAGCTTTCAATTCAACTGCTATGGAATGGTTAGGACAAGTGCTATTTATTATCTTCATTTTACATTGGGAACGATAAATTCAGAATAATATTTGCCCAAGGTCATACACCTAATGTAGAGAAGCCACTGTACATAATGGTATTTTACATATGTGCAACCATCATGAAACTGGTAGCTTAGCACTGTTGGCTCTATACCCTGAGGGGTAAGTAGGAATGATTTAAAAGATGATAATCAGAAAGCCAATTTTGTGGGTTTGAATGATTTCTGAAAATTCTGTTCTTTCCTGTGTTGTATCTGGGACTGCAGTACTTTTCACCCAACATTTTTGGTAGCAGGGATGTATTAATTGTACACCTTTTCCATTCTAGTTGTTGGGAAGGTCTTGGAAATTACTGAACTACCAGATGGGATAACTCGCATGGAAGCTGAGAAGCTTTTTGGGGAACTCTTTAAAATTGGCGCCAAGATCCGGTGGCTCCGGGACCCCCAGTCCCAGCCCCAGCTGCGTCGTCACCCACTCTGCTGTGGCAGTGGGGACAATACCGTCAATCCTGAACGCTCTAAACCCAGTGACTTGGCCTCCACGTATACCGTCTTAGCCACATTCCCCTCCATTTCAGCTGCACAGAATGCATTGAAGAAACAGATTAACTCAGTTAACAAGTTTAAGCTGAGAACAAGCAAGAAACACTATGACTTTCACATTTTGGAAAGGGCAAGTTCTCAGTAACAGCCACCTTTGGACCTTATGATTCCCCTGCCCTCTCCCATCTCTGATTGGCTTGGTATTTGGAGCTTCTGTTAACATTATAGAGACTCCTAGGACGTGTGGTCTTGATGTTATAGCTTTTGAAGAAAGGCCAGTGATCCAGCAAAGGGGAAACAGATACACATTGCACCCCAGATGACTGTAGGAATCCACATCGGAATGATACAGAGTTAGCAGCTTTTTCTAAGGAAATGCTGTTCAAATGCCTCCTAACTTTTATAGTTATTTTGTTTTATATTTCTGAATTCTTGTATCAGATCCAAAGCTCTATTGTACAGCAAACTACTCTTCAAAATGATTATAACCAGTTGCAACCTGTATTTCTTTTTTATAGCCAGCACATTGTGACCCAACTTAGAATTTGGGGGAAAAAGAATGCAGGAGTGGAAAAAATAACCAAGTCAGAACCATGCACTATCGTTGTGGGGGCTAGGGTTGCTCAAAAGAGCCCACAAATAGAAGATTACTCTTCCCTTGAATCTCTAAACACAGAAACAATTTCCAGAAAATAAAGAACTCCCTCATAGGGTCCTTTCCGTATTCATTTAGGTAGTATGAACATTAAGTGTAACGTAAATTATGTTCTTAATGCCTCCTAATCAAACTACTCAGATTCAAAGGGGGGATGGGAATCATTCTTGACAGGAAAATACTTGTACTTCCACCTTTTTAAAATGTCCCTCCAATAATTAAATGCCACTTATTACATTCCCCTCCTTATGGATTTTTTTGTCACCTAAGGAAATGTATTTAATGAGTGCTGGAAACTTCTTAAGTGGTTTAAAATTTGTTTTCATTGTTTGCAGCAGATCACTGGAGATCAAAGATTCATTGCACTTATGAACAAGGAACCTTCTTTTCAATTTCTGTGTAATTTGCAAGGCTGTACAATGTGTGCTGATGCAAGCCTTTTTCAGTTCAAGAGAATAAATGTTTACAAATATAGGCCTTCTTTGTCTGTTTTTTATTTAAAATACATTTCAAATGAATGTCACTACTGAAGACCTAAACCCATCTTGAAGATTTCAGTCAGTTTCAAACTTACGGAAGATGAAAGTAAACGCACTCATTTTGGAAACATCCTAAATATATCCCTTTTCTGTAGGAGTGATTTCTACTGGTTATTATTCATATTTGTTGTTCTCTCATAAGCAGTACTATCAAGCTGATACTAACCAGTTGTATATAATTTGCAGTATAAACATTTAAAGTCAGGCAGCTAAACACAGAACACTGGTTAAAGAATCTGATTTTAGCTTACATATCACATAGTTGTCCACTTTAGCTTGATGCTTTGTAAACATCTTGCCCATTGATTAGTGAAACAAAGTCAAACTGCAGGGAAATCCTAACAATGAGGTTGGTCAGCTGCAACATGCCTGTAACCTGGTTTTCTTCCAGCACAGATTACCAGATTAGGTTTTTTTTTTTTTTTTTTTTAATGGCACCGGTTTGAGTCCCGGCTGCTCCACTTTTTTATTTTTTTATTTTTTTTGACAGGCAGAGTGGACAGTGAGAGAAAGAGAGAGACAGAGAGAAAGGTCTTCCTTTGCCGTTGGTTCACCCTCCAATGGCCACCGCGGCCGGTGCGCTGCAGCCGGCGCACCGCGCTGATCCAATGGCAGGAGCCAGGTACTTATCCTGGTCTCCCATGGGGTGCAGGGCCCAAGGACTTGGGCCATCCTCCACTGCACTCCCTGGCCACAGCAGAGAGCTGGCCTGGAAGAGGGGCAACCGGGACAGAATCCGGCACCCCGACCGGACTAGAACCCGGTGTGCCAGCGCCGAAAGGTGGAGGATTAGCCTAGTGAGCCGCGGCGCCGGCCTAGGGGTTTTCTATAAGCATGAAGAGCACCAGGTATTACCAGACTCTAGTTCAGATGTGCAGTTACTCTAGAACATTTGCAAAGTCCTGCTTGGTCCCAGTGAATGCTAGATCTCCTCATAAGGTAGCACATCCAGATTAATGAATTTTGTACTACCAGGATCAGAACTTGGAGTTCGCTAAGAACCATGTGAGAGGAAGGAGCTAGACCTAGGGGGAGTAGGAAGAATCAGGAACTGTGAAGTCATCTCCCTTGCAAGACCTGTTGAATTTTTCTTGCAGAGAATCAAGACTGAAGAGGACATGTAACTAGAGCCTATGTTGGAATAGCAGTTGTTCTTCAGTCATACATAGGAATGGAAGACAAGCCACAACCTCGTGGTTTTTTTCAATTAATTTCTGTGAATATTCTGTTTCACTCTTGCAGTTGGAATCTTGATAAACCCAAGTTTTAATTGAGACTCCTGGTTCACTGTATAGGGTAAACATACAAATGAAATAGATAAAAAGCTGGAGCTGAGGGGACCAGTACTGTGCAGCAGGTAAAGCCACCACCTGCAGTGCCAGCATCCCATATGGGTGCCGGTTCCAGTCCCGGCTGCTCCTCTTCCAATCCAGCTCTCTGCTATGGCCTGGGAAAGCAGTGGAAGATGTCCCAAGTCCTTGGGCCCCTGCACCTGTGTGGGAGACCCAGAAGACGCTCCTGGCTCCTAGCTTTGGATCTTTGCAGCTCCAGCCGTTGCCGCCATCTGGGAAGTGAACCAGCAGGTGGAAGACTTTTTCTCTCTGCTTCTGCCTCTCTGTAACTCTGCCTTTCAATAAAAAAAAAAAAAAAGTTTTTTAAATGAGTTTTTAAAATACCTGAAAATAGTTTGGCATCAAAGCTGTTAACAAAGTAAGGATCTGAACCCTCCCCCAAGCTAAGAAAATGTTTTCCTGATCCCACAAGGGAAAGACTTGTGACCTTCAGTAGCAGTGAACCAGGCTTCTGTGTAGTGCCATAGTGCCTGCATGCTTGGTAAGAATCGAGGCAGCATATCCACGACTACCTCTGGAAAAGGTCCAGTGGGAGCCTACATGCATCATTGCTGACAGAAAATACAAACAGAGGACCTCAGCAGAGGCCAGCCACAGAGACTTTGAAGTGGCTTGACCTCTCCCCACCTGGCCCTGCCCCAGTCTCCACGTACTTCCTGCCCTTTAATTCACTACCATGCCTTCATATGCTCAGGCTGCATCGTAGCTGTTTGCTAAGTATTTCCCCCTGCTGTGTCTGCACTTGGGTTAATTTTGTTTTGATTGCACCAGCATAAAAATACTGAAGGAGAGGACCTGTGTTGTGGCATAGCAGATTGAGTCACTGCAGGGGATGCCAGCATCCCATATGGGTGCTGGTTGGAGTCCTAGCAACTCTGATTCTGAGCCACCTCCCTGCTAGCAACTCTGATTCTGAGCCACCTCCCTGCTAATGGCCTGAGAAAAGCAGAGGAAAATGGCAGAAATGTTTGGGCCCCTGCCACCCACATGGGAGATCTGGATGAAACGCTCCTGGCTGCAGCTTTCTGGGGAGTGAACCAGAGGATAGAAGAATTCTCTCTCTGCCTCTCCCTCTCTGTAACTCTTTTCTTTTTTCTCTTCTCGTCTCATCTCATCTCGTCTCTTCTATTTTCTTTCAGAGGTAGAGTTACAGACAGAGAAACAGAGAGAAAGGTCTTCCTTCCATTGGTTCACTCCCCAAATGGCCGCTGCAGCCGGCGCTATGCCGATCCCAAGCCAGGAGCCAGGTGCTTCCTCCTGGTCTCCCATGCTGGTGCAGAGACCCAAGCACTTGGGCCATCCTCCACTGCCCTCCAGGCCACAGCAGAGAGCTGGACTGGAAGAGGAGCAACTGGGACTGGAGCCTGAAGCCCATATGGGATGCCAGCGCTGCAGGCGGAGGATTAACCAAGTGAGCCATGGCACTAGCCCCATAACTCTAACTTTCAAATAAATCCTTAAAAAAATTTTTGGAGGAATGTAAGGAAAGAGAACTTTCGAATCAGAAAACAGGAAAGTAATAAAAGCTTGTCTTGGCAGGGAGGTAAGGGGAAGCACTAAAATAGATAAACCATTAACTGAATAGTGAATTATGTTTAAAAGCCTGTTTGAATCATCTCTTTGCTTAACCACTCAGAATTTGATGTTTTAAAACAACAAACTTAGGAGTCAAGAATTTGGGTGAGGCTCAAAAATGGTGGCTTGGCTCTTCTCCAGTTGATAACTGCCCTCTTGCTCAGGCTAGGCTGGGTTGGAAGTTCCAAAGTAGCCTCACTCACATGTCTGGATCCTACATATCTGGGGTATAGAGGCTGGCTCTCAGCTATGATACTTCATGTCTCCATGTGGGCAGTATCTTCATGAGCAATCTGTCATCCTCTGTGGCTCTCCACATGGTCCTTCTCTGTCACTCTTTCAGATAAATAAATCTTTAGACTTATTTAAGAGTGAGAGAAAGTCAGAGCCAGTTCTCTGCTAATGTGCCTGGAAAAGTAGCAGAAGATGGCCCAAGTGGTTGGGCCTCACACGGGAGGCTCAGATGAAGCTCTTGGTTCTTGGCTTCGACCTGGCCCAGCCCTGGCTGTTACGGCCATTTGAGAAATGAACCAGCAGTTGGAAGATCTCTGTCTCTACTTCTCTCTCTAACTGAAATAAATAAATCTTAAAAAAAAAAAAAAAATGACGACAATGTAAAGGGCTCTTCATACCTGGTCTTGGAAGATTCCAGATTGTCATGTCTAGTGCCTTTTACTGGTCATAAGTCCTAAGGCCAGCCTCCAGTCAGAAGAAACAAACCTTGTTGAGAGAAGTGGCAAAAAAGTGGGTAGGATGAGAAAATATGGTTGCACCCATCTTTGAAAATAATTTACTATGAGCGCAAGTACACAAGAAAAAGTCTCATTGACTGCCTTCAAATCAGACCCCATTGGTGACCTGGTCATCTCCATTACCACCATCCTTTACCTCATCTGCTGACACACCCTTCCTTACCAGTCTCCCTGCAACTCCCATGTCTGCACAATGGCCCAAATGATCTGAAAGAATCCACTCATGTCATGCCACTGCCTGAAACCTCCATTGGTTTCCTGTTACTACAATAGCAAGTTTATTTAATGTTAATTAATTGATTTTCATCTACTAGAAAGGGAGAATGACAGATCTTTCATCCACTGCCTCAACCCCCAGATGCTAATAACAGCCGAGCCTGGGCCAGGCCAAAGCCAAGAGCCCAGAACTCCATCCAAGTCTCCCGCATGGATGGCAGGGGCCCAACCACTTAGTCCATACTCTGCTGCCTCCCAGGAAGCATCAGCATGGAACTGGATTGGAAGTAGAAGCAAGGACCCAAACTGGCACTCTGAGAGGGGATATGGGCATCCCAGATGGTAGCATACCCAATGTGCCACAACATCCACCCCCCCCAAACTAAGATTTTTACTTTGGCTCATGATGTGGGCTCCACTAATCACATGTAGAGAAATCTAAGGAGTGACAGAATTTCTGCTATGTGCATTTCCAAGAGATACCAAAACTACTTAGCTTACTTATCCTTCTGAGAGTTTGTGAGCAAATATCCTTGAATAAATAGAGTAAATTCTGCTTGGAACTAAGATCTCTGGTGCACCACTAGTATCTTCCAACTACTGGGACTCTATTTTGTTTTCTAAGATTTAGAATCCTGATTCCCTTGAATCTCTCCTAACCACCATCTGTGGTTGAAGTCTTTATTGTGTCTCACTCAAATTATTGCAGTTGCTTTTTGTTGGGTGGAGCAACTTAAGAGTTTGAACTTCCCTGCTTACAAACCTCTGATAGTTCCTATTTTCCACAGGACAAAGCTCAAATCCCCTATTATCTGACTCTTGGGACATTCTACCACTTCCTCCAGCTCTACTGTATAAACCACACTTACAGTTTGCTAACTAAATCACACTTACTTCTCAACTACCACATGTTCTCTAGTGCCTATTACTCAGAGCCTTTGATCATGCTACAGGAAGACTCACCTCTTTTCTTAGTGGCCACAGGACCTTCAGGGGCTAGCCCGACTGATTCTTCCTTTGTGCAGCCTTCTGACCTCCTA